GGCGGATCTCTGTGAGTTCAAGGCCAGCCTGGTCTCCAAAGCGAGTTCCAGGAAAGGCGCAAAGCTACACAGAGAAACCCTGCCTCGAAAAACCAAAAAAAAAAAAAAGAGCTAACCAGCATAGGGTCTTTCGCTGAGCCCTGAGCTCACAAATTCAGCTCAACTAGCTGGCCAGCAAGCTCCAGGACTCCTCTGGTCTCCATGGCCCCTGTGGCGGCTCCTGGGATCCGAGCTCAGTCTCATGCTGGCACAGCTGCCTCAACCTGCTGAGCCCTCCAGGTTTCCTTTCTAACGGACTCCACTCCCATTAGTACTCTATTTGAAATGTAGCGTTCTGTTCAGAGAGTATCATGTTTTGTTGATGTTTCCTAAGCATTTGGCTTTTCCCTCTTCTGTTACAACTTGCCTATATCAGTTTTCCCACGTGGGATTTTTCTTCCCTTCCAGAGCTTTCTTTTCTCACTGCACAGAAAAGAAATTTTGTCTTTCCAGATACATTTCAAATACTGTATTTTTAACAAGTTCTTTTCTAGTCCTATAAACAGATGGGAGTTAGTTTTGAAATAGTAACTTCAAAAAACTTATATTTTCTTGTGTAAATTTGTTCATTGCTTTTCTTCCTTGAGGCAGATTGTTTGTGTATTTACTTGGCATGTTGTAGCTGTATTTCTACATATGTCATGGGTATGTGGTTAGTGTGTTTGTAACTGTATCTAGAGACACCTGCTCTAGTTCACAGGAAGCACTGTAGAAGTATGTGTCAAGTAACATAGATATTTCCCTTGCACAAAAAATTGTTCTTCTCCTAAAAGTAAGTGAATTATGTTAGGCTTCAGAGTAATGTACTCTACTCTAAGAGAAGGAAGGTTAAAAAGGTCTGCCTTTTAAATAGTTCTGCTTTGGCAAGACAGAATTAAAAGCATGTTTCTCCACTTCATTTTAAGCTTTAGACTTGTTAACATATCAATGTAGATTTCCTTTAAAAATGATGTTTGTGGATAAAATACTTAACTTGAACCAACTGACTTCTTCCTTAATACCTCCTGTGGCTTTTAGTTCACCAGTTTGTTAACCAGGTCAGTCCATTATCTTTGAATTCTTTATTCAAGTTCTCAGGACGCAGGCAGAGCGCAGCCATGCTGTCCCCCACACTGCTAGCCCAGGTCTCCGCGGAGCGCTGCTCCCCTCCTGGCCTCGTGATCTGGGCCTCCACTGCTGTCTCCCCCAGGGTTCTTCCCTAGTCAGCCTGCGCTTGAGCAACCCACTCAGTTCTTCACGTTCCTCCCACAAAACAGTTACAGAGTCCTAATAGCCACAGTCGGAATCACAACATCGTACTCTTCTGGTGCTGTCTTCCACCTTAGTTCGTTTCCTGTCACCGTGATAAATACCTGGACAAAAGCAGCTTTAGGAGAAAGAGTTGACTCACGGTTCCAGATGACAGTCTGCCACTGTGGGGAAGTCAGGGCTGCAGGAGCCTGGAGCAGCTGATCACACTATGTCTCTAGCAAGAGCAGAGAGCAGTGAATTAACACACTCGTGCTCAGCTCCTCCTCCATCTCACACTCAGGCTGTGCTCAGCTCCTCCTCCATCTCACACTCACCCTGTGCTCAGCTCCCCCTCCATCTCACACTCAGGCTGCGCTCAGCTCCTCCTCCATCTCACACTCAGGCTGCGCTCAGCTCCTCCTCCATCTCACACTCACCCTGCACTCAGCTCCTCCTCCATCTCACAGTCACCCTGTGCTCAGCTCCTCCTCCATCCCACACTCAGGCTGTGCTCAGCTCCTCCTCCATCTCACACTCACCCTGTCCTCAGCTCCTCCTCCATCTCACACTCACCCTGCACTCAGCTCCTCCTCCATCTCACACTCAGGCTGCGCTCAGCTCCTCCTCCATCTCACACTCACCCTGTGCTCAGCTCTTCCTCCATCTCACACTCACCCTGTGCTCAGCTCCTCCTCCATCTCACACTCACCCTGTGCTCAGCTCTTCTCCACTCTCCCACAGTCCAGAATTTTCTGCCCCAATGGCTTTTCCTGGCCTCTCCTCAGGGAATCCAGCCCTTCTCCACAGTGCCAAGCCTGGGATTCTCTGAGACTCTTTGGTCCCGGGGCTTCCACCGCAGTGAGGCTGCACCCTTACTAAAGGCCACTCCAGGCCTCTGCAAGAACTCCAGTCTGCCATCATGCCTTCAACCCCAGTTCCATGAGGCACTCTTACAGACTGTCATGTTCAGCTTCCAGCGTGAATTCAGCCTTGCCACACGCACTGTGTGCTGGCCTCAGGGAAATACTTCCCAGAAGATTTTGCCTGAATGATGTTATAATCACAGATGGTTCTTCAGCACAGGTTTATTTCCATAGATTCTTAATCCAGAATAGCACATGAGCAGCCCTGAAACGTCGTTAGCCAGACCTCCATCGTCTGCATTTTTGAAATCTCAGCATTCTTATCTTTTAAGCTCCTAGAGAACAGCCCTGACCTGTCGGTGGCCGGCCTGTGAGAACCACAGCCCCACCCTCTGACACCAGTTCTGCTGCACTGCTTTCTGTTGTGTGATGAACCCCGTGACCAAAAGCCACTGGGGGGGGCGCGCGGGGGCGGGGGGGGGAGGCTTTATTTCATTTGACAGACTGAGTGAGCAGGAACTCACGGAAGCAAACTGGAGGCAGGAACTAAAGTGGACTCCTTGGAAAGCTGCTGCTTCCTGGCTTGTCCCAGGCTCTCCCTGTCAGCTTTCTCCTACAGCCCAGATCATCTCCCTAAGGGTGTTGCTTCCCTCAGTGTCTGGGCCCTCCCACCGTCAATTAGCAGTCAAGGAAATGCCCCGCAGACATGCCTGCAGCAGCAGTCTGGTGGGGCAGTTCCTCCTAAGTTCTCTCTTACTAGGTGTGGTAAGTTGACAACCGGACCAGCCATTAACATATACTAGCAAGTATGAATGGTTTATGCCACTGTTTAATACATGGAATTCTGAATATTTTCTTGGGGTTTATGTTACAAGAGTATTTTCTATTCTCCTAGTTTTAAAAGTTAACAAATGCAGTCACGCCTTGCATAATGGCATTTGGTCAATAGCAGCTTCATGTATAGTTATGGTGCCATGATCATGTCGTAGCCGTGGTAGATTGTGTGAGTAAACTGTGATAATAATTGACAGGATTGTTTAACAACACATTGACAGTGTCTGAATTGTTAAGTGATGCATGACTGTGGATGTACAGTGTTCTCTTTTCTTTAGCTCATACTAGAACTAGGTGAAGCCAGAATGTTGGTTTGAAGAAACATACAAAAGAGTGACTTACATAGGAACCTAAAAAAGTCAAAACTCAACATTAGCTTTAACATTTTCTGACTCTTTATATAGTACTCCTCCAGCTAAGCACCATGCTCTACCAGCTTTTCTGCGTCTTTTCTTACACAGTGCGCGTGCGCATGTGTGTGCGTGTGTGTGTGTGTGTGTGTGTGTGTGTGCGTGTGTGTGTGTGTGTGTGTGTGTGTTCGTGTTCATGTGGACACCAGCGGTCTTCATTCACTCTCCAGTTTATTGAGAGTGTCTGGCACTGAACCCAGAGCTTGTGATTCGGCTGGTCTCCTGGCCCCCACCCTCCATGGATCCGCTCGTCTCTGCGCTCTGCCCAGCACCGGGGCTATAGAGGAAGCATACTTTGCCAAGATTTTGCATGGGTGTTGGAGACTCCAAGTTAGGTCCTCATGTTTATATAGCAGCCCCTTTACCAACTGTCCATGCCCTCCGCCCCAGGACTGTCTACTTGCTGTGACACAGGCGGAGGCCGTGTTTAAAGGCTGTGTTTTCTTCCCTGACAGAAAAGTAGCAGCTCTGAGTCGTTAAGTGAGAAGGGCTCTGAATTGAAGAAAAGTTTTGATGCTGTGGTATTTGATGTTCTTAAAGTTACGCCAGAAGAATACGCGGTAAGCTTTCTGCCTCTAGATTTCCAGTTTTTGCATGTAATTTATATACTTGTGTTGTTATTACTGAGTTAGAATTCCTGGCCTCAGTGGAGGAGGTGTTTTGTTTTTCAAGCTGGATCTAGGAATTGGAGGTTAACACAAGTATGGAGCAAGAGAAGGATGAGGTGAGAGGGAAGGACAACTTTTTTTAAAGGACAGTTTCTTTCTTTCTTTTTTTTTTTTTAATTTTTTTAAAGGTTTATTTATTTATTATGTATAGTGTTCTGCCTGCATGTATGTCTGCAGGCCAGAAGAGGGCACCAGATCTCATTACAGATGGTTGTGAGCCACCAAGTGGTTGCTGGGAATCGAACTCAGGACCTCTGGAAGAGCAGCCAGTGCTCTTAACCTCTGAACCATCTCTTCAGCTCCCCAGAAGGGCAGTTTCTTGTTACCCCTTCTGTTTGGTAAAAAAACTTGATCGCTGCCTTTGCTGACTCAAGCCACCTTATTATGTTCCAAAGTATTTTTTGCTGTTTTGTAAATTTCAAGGTAGGGAAATGTGATTTCCCAGTCATTGGAATATCAAGAATTTTCTAACACATCTTTTTAACGGGCATAAATGTTCATTTACTTAGGTCTTCGGGTTCCTTTTGTTAACTGAATAAACTGCCGGTTTGGTCTTGAACCACTCTTGTGGTCCAGGATAAAGTGCTCTGGTTTGTGCCGTGTGTTTACCCTTCCCTGATTGCTTCTCTTGTAAGTTTTGTTTGTTTGTTTTTTAATTCCATGCATTTGTTTATTTGTATGAGAAGGGGGCACGTGCACCATGGTGTGTGTGTGCTCAGAGGGCAACTTCAGAGTTGCTTCTCTGCCATGTGGGGACCAGGGATTGAACTCAGGTCCTGAATTTAGGTAATCAGTCTTGGCGCTGAGAGACCTTCTGATCCATCTAATGGATACCGTACCAAAATGTTTTCCTTTTCCAGGACTGAGATAACTAGGAGTAATGGCTCAAAGACTAAACTTTCTATTTTCTTGAAGTTCATGAAGACTGTGTATTCGGTAATTTAGTATGGAGTAGAAATTTTATTTATTTTACTTTGAATAAATTTTGTATCATAGGGTTCCAAAGAACTAGGCATTCAAAACAAAACAAAACCCCCTTTGTCTTTCAGGGTCAGATAACGCTAATGGATGTTCCAGTGTTTAAAGCTATTCAGCCAGATGTAAGTAGTTTTAAGAATATTTCTTGTAAATATAGAGAACAATTAACCATAGTATCTTAAGATGTTTAAGAAATTCAAATCATATTTCATATTAATCATTAAATGTCTAAAGCTTATAACTTATGTTTATTCAGTTCTTAGAGACTCAGATGGCATTCATCATAATACATTCTTTAATCATAAATGTGATGTTTGAATCCTTTGGGCTAATTTGATTTCATTGCTGAAGGAAATAATAGACTTACAGAAGTTAAATGATTTACTTGGGGCATTGAAGCTTTTTAATGGGGAGGTGAAAATTAGATATAATGTAGTAATTAATCTTTCCTTCTACCTTAATTTTATGTAATATGATGACTGTTATTTTATTTTAGCTTATTTAATTTTTAAAAATTATCGTGTGTGTTCACGTGATGTAAGTGATGGGGGGGGTGTGCAGAGTCAGAGAACAGCTTTTATGAAATCAGTTTTCTCTCTCCACTTTGTTGTGGAGCTTGACCTCAGGTGGCTAGGCTGGGCAGCCCTGTATGGACACTGTAGAGGATGATCAAGAAACACATTTTCCCCTTAAAATAAAGGGACGAATAGTACATGTCTACCCACTCGAAGTCTGTGTGTGTACGCATGTGTGTTATAGTTTATCTTTTTTGGGGGGGTTTTGAGACAGAGTTTCTCTGTGTAACAGCCCTGGCTGTCCTGGAACTTGCTCTATAGACCAGACTGGCCTCAAACTCACAGAGATCCCCCTGGCTCTGCCTTGTGAGTGCTAGGATTAAAGGCGTGTGCCACCATACCCAGAATATATTGTCATTTTTAAGGGCCTGTGTATAATACTTTTGCTTTATTGATGAGGGAATAGTAACAGTTATCTTTTATCTACAACTGTCTTAGTCTGTTTTATATTGCTGTAACAAAATGCCTGATGCTGGGTGCTTTATATAGAAGAGGTTTATTTAAATAATAGCTTTAGAGGCAGAAAGTCCAGGGCCAGGATGTATTATGTGTTGGGCCTTAAGTGAAAGAAAGCCCCATGGGCTGTCTCACAATGTGGCAGAAAAGTAGAAAGCAGAGTGGCCACGTGCACCAGGGGCCAAGCGTGGCTGTCTTTCTGACAGCCCACTTTTGGAGAGCGGCCTCACTCCTGTGTGCTCCTGTGTGCTGACTACTTCACACAAGGCTCCACCTCTTAATGGTTCGCCCATCTCCTTGCACTGGAGACTCGGCCTTAGCACATGTGCCTTTGGGAATACACTCCAGTTGGGTCTAAACTATAACAATAGGTCAGGGTGGACACTGGCTTAGATTCTGAGAAGATAGTTTTTACTCTGAGTGAGTAAGAATATAAACTTAATTTTTGTCTCCCAAACAAAGCCATTTTGATAATTCATGGTTGGTTCTTTTGGGAATAACAAGCAGTGTTTGTTGTGTTGTATATAAATCTATAGGGACCCAGAACACTATAATAACTAATAAATCCATTACAGCTGAGGTGTAAACAGGCTACTGTGATTTTTTTCCCTAAGTAGGCTACTTAGTGTGCTAATATCTCAAGTTTGCTGCCTGTCGAGGGAAGTGAGAGCTGCCTGCATGTCCTCTGGGCCCGTCACTTCCCACAATCCTGTGCTTGTCTTTCTCTACACTGCAGAGGGCTTCAGAAGGAGAGCCATTGGGTTAATAGTAGACAGAGAAGACTGTGTACTCTATAAATAATGGGCAAACAGAGAATGGCTTCTGTATTTCAATGATCAAAACAAAAAACCCTAGAGTGTTCATTTCTGTTATTTGTAGTCAGAAGTTTCTTGGTCCTGCCCAGCCCTGTGGTCCCATAGCCATTTATAAAATAAAATATTAATTATAAATTGTATGGCCTACGGCTTTAGTTTCTTGTTAGCTAGCTCTTTCATCTTAAATTAACCCATTCTTACCAATCTAGATGTTGTCACGTGGCTGTGGTGATACGGATCTGTTGGCATCTTGTCCTTCTTTTGGTGGTGGGCTGGCATCTCTCCTGACTCTGCCCTTCTTTTATCTGTATTTTTGTTTGGGTTTCCTGCCTGGCTGTAAACTTTCTTGCCATAGGCCAAAACAGTTTTATTTATTATCCAATGGGAGCCACATATATTCACAGCACATAGAAAGACATCCCATAGCATTTCCCCTTTTCTGTCTAATCAAAAAGGAAGGTTTTAACTTTAACATAGTAAAATTATATATATATATATAATATATATATACTTATATATATATAAAACAAAAGTTATCAAGCAGAAATTATAGTTACAATATCTAGTTTATTTGTATGTGGCAAAATTAAAGAAAATACTTGATCATCTATCCTATATTTGTGAGTCTAAAGTTTCATATCTAATTTACCTTTTATCATGACTAAGGAAAACTATAATTATATCTATCTAGTCTTCAACTCCATCATAGACCCCAGAAGGATATAATATTACCTGAGTAAACAGGAAGTGCATAGCAAGCAACTTCCATAATTCTAGGAAGAACAGAGACAGCTGGCTATGTGGACAGTCATCCAAAGTTCCTAGAGTCTCTGGCATAGCTTTTAGTGAAGTAGAAAATTTTAAGGACTGTTCCACCCATTCTGGCAAAGTTCATCAACTGCTTCTCCCCATGTCCTATAGAATGTCTGGCAGTTCGTTCTGCAAAGCAGGAACCTGAAGGACCATCTTGCCTTGCAAAGTTCAGTGGTCATCTTCCTATGGGTCCTGCATGTCCAGTTTATATAACGTCCTGTCAAGCAGTCGAGGCAAGGGCATTTTTCTGCCTAGTGGCTAACTTTTGCCACAAAGAAAACAAACTCCATAATGAATTTTTTGATGCCCATCATCCTCTTTGAAGTAATTGGTGCTGCCAGAAGCAGACGTGTCTCACTGTCCAGAAAAGTCTTCAGTTCTTAAAACATTTTAAATGCCATATTCTGTAGGTCTTTGAAGTGTTTGAAGATTAACTATCTAATTGAAATATATCTTTATATACCTAAAAAACTCACTAACATGACTATAAGTTTGATTATCATAGATGACTATTAATCTGTATTTCTTACTTATATCTTACAATTTTAAATGAATTACATAAACATAATAGCCTTAAACAAGAATAGAAATAAACATACAGTATAACAAAATTGATCTTAAATTTGTATTAATAAACCAAAATCTATACTAAAGTATTTTGAGATTTAACAGTTGTTTTTTGGATTAAAGTAGATTCAGTAATCTTCGTTTTTTCTCATCATTTTTTTGTTTTGTTTTTCGAGACAGGGTTTCTCTGTGTAGCTTTGCGCCTTTCCTGGCTTTGTAGACCAGGCCAGCCTTGAACTCACAGAGATCTGCCTGCCCCTGCCTCCCGAGTGCTGGGATTAAAGGCGTGTGCCACTACTGCCGGCTCTCATCATTTTTATATCTTATCTTCTTTTCTTTTTTTAGAAAGAACTTGACTGTGACCATTAACAATTTGTAATCAACCTCCTTAACAAAGACAAACATCCATAATCCATTTTTTTGGGAATGTGGGCATAGTGTTCTAATCCTGCTGATTGGGGGTGCTGTTAATCTGTCCTGACTGGAGTAGTCTGTGAGGCTGGATTATCTCAGCCAGTTGTCTTGAAGCTGATTTGAATGTTGGATCATCTGGAGACCTCTTAGGAGGTTTTCCTTGATGGAACCATATTAACCTGGAAGTCAAGGTACCTTTAAAAAAAAAATATATATATATATAGCTTTAACTCAGCAGCCTTTATAATCAAATGTCTGTCTTCAGTTAAAAATTCCAAAGACAACATAATCCAGATTCTCTGTGTAATTTCCATCTTTATGTGGTTTATTACATTTTTTATTATATAAAGTCTTAAAAATTAAATAATGTATTATTTTTTAAGACTTTATTTTTATGACTATCAGTATCCTTTTCTTCTCTCTCTCTCAAGCCTATGTATCTTTTACACACATTGTAAACCGTTTGGAGGTTTATTCCATCTGAACCTGTCTTATTGTGTCTCTAGTCCTCTTCCGACCAGAAGAGATTTTAAACTGTTGAGCTGCGTGGCTAGGGCGAAAGCCGCAGCCTTGCCTGCAGACTCCGCCCTCCTCAGCTTCCCAGCATGGCGGAGGTATGTTTATCCCTAGCTCTGGGAGCCATGCTCACCGCCAACTTAGGGAGGCAGTGGGTTTGTGCCTCCATCAAGCGCCTGTAGCCCAGAAGGCTTTTTTTTTTTTTTTTTTTTGTCTGTACTAGCAAAAGCTAAATCCACCATGCAGTGCGCTACGCAGCTTGGAGACACCTCTGTATACCTCTGTGGGAATCTGCCATGCTGTGCTCAAGCTCAGATGCCAGAGGTCTCTGTACCACAGCCTCTCTGTACTGCGGCTCCATGAGACATATGGACTAGGAAGCTGCTCTTAGCTCCGTTTTAGTAAGTTCTGTCAGGTTTTAGATGGATACTCTTGCCATCGTGTTTGGGCGCCAAATTGACAAAAATTACCCCCCCCCTCCAGTTTAAGTCTTCTAAGAATCATTTTTCTTTTGACTAAAATACATTTATTATTGCTGTTTCACCTGACTAGTGATAAGCCGTGGAAATCTAGTATCATTTATTTAACTGCATTATAAAGTAAAAAGGAATAGGTGAAATCAATAGGTGATTTTACTTAACCTACAACATCCAAAGTATTTCAGCTTGTAATCAGCGTAAGATTTTTATTGAGATATTTTATACTTTTTCCTTATGCTGTTTTCTGATCCCAGAGTTGCCTTTAGATTACTGCATGTTTTTACCTGGAGTAGCTCCCTTTGAGGTGTTCTGTAGGATTTATGACTAAGACTTAGACATTGTACACTAGGTTGTTTCTTGAAGACGTAGATTTACGTTCTGAGAGGATTTATTTCCCTTTGGACATTGACAGTACTTTGGAACCTTCACATTTCCCTTGACTTCATTTCTTTAGTAACTTGAGCACAGTCCCCTTGACTCCCACTCC